CTTTGTAACAGAAATGAAACCTGCTGCTCCTTTCTGCTCAGTGTTTGCCGTAATTCTTCAAGTGCCTGAACTAGCATAGATTCACGCTCCTCGACCTCTCTTAGACGACCCTCAAGTTCGGTTCTAGCTTCATTATTAGCCCGTGCTTCAGCTAATGATTCAGCTTCCCTCGCTGCATTCAAAGCATTTGTGTAGTATTCTTTTTGAATTGTGAGTTCTGATTGGTGTTTCTCAATTGTTTCTTGAAGCAACTTCTCAGTTGCAGCCTTATCCCTTCTTATACTCTCCACTTTATTTTCTTCTACCTGAAGCAAATAAAACAAAAAGTCCAATCTTGAACATGCAGGCCTATATGTTTCCTTGTTCCAACATGCTTTTTATCTTCATGAAAAAGTAATGAGTTTGCTTCCATTCAAACTGCATGGAGCTTCTGAGATAACATTTGAATTCCTTCAACAACAACAACAACAACAAAGTCTTATCCCACTAGGTGGGATCGGCTACATGGATCAAACGACGCCATTGCGCCCTATCATAATTTCAAACACTTGAATTCCTTCATTTTCTAAAAATAGACGACAGAAGTGGCAAAACTAAATGAAGGAATGCATGTGATCTGTGTCTGGAAAGATCAATTAGACATCAATGTGTTTGTATTATACATAATCCATGTCAGTTACACAAAGTAAAGCTGAAGAAGCAAACCTCTAGCTTGGTCTGCAGTCCTTTCTTCTCTTCTTCTAGCTCTCTAATCTAACTTTCAAAACAGAGGCGATGGTTTATTAAACTAAGAGAACTTTAAAAGCAACACGCATTATTCATTATGCTAGAAAGATAACCTGTGCCCTTAATTTCCTAATATGAGCCTCCTGGGCAGCTTGCTTTTTTGAAAGCTGTTCACCTGAGAAGAATAGTACACAAGTAAAAAATAGCTCAATGACAACATCCAATACATTTGACATAAATCAACTAGTCAAGGTCATTTTGTAAAGAAGGATATAAAACTAAATAGCACTAAGTCTTAGTAGACCTTTCTGATGCACTGAAATTACAAGCTTAAGTGTTTAACACAAGATATATGAGTTTTGCATGTATTAATGCTACATGAATGTATGTGTGTGACAGAACCAAAAACAGTAGTAAGATTTACAAATAAAATTTTTCCTCTCACCTTTTCATTAACCATAATACAACAACCTAGTAGAATCCCATGAAAGTAGGGTCTGGGGATGGTATGTGTAGACAGACCTTACCCCTACTTGAAACTTGAAAGTAGAGAGCCTATTTCCAAGAGACCCCCAGCTCGAGCAACACAGAGAGCAAATAGCACGACAAAAAATATCACAAAAGCAAACTAAGGGCAAGAAAAGCGCAATGAGACAACCCATAATATAAAAGCAAAAAAAAGTTTTGGAGAGCCAAAACCAATTCATTAATTAATCAAATATTGGGAAAAAATACCTTCAGCCATAACTTGAGTAATGATTTCATCTTTCTCCTTCAGAAGAGCAGCCGCATCACTCTTCTTATTGTGCTCTCTACGAAGTGTATCCCTTTCTTTGGTAAGAGAGTAGACCTGAAATTTGAATGACATAAACATAACATCCTTAGTAATGAGGCATCAGTCCAGAGAGAAAATTCACTCCAGCCATGGTAAATACTCCGGAAAAAAGTATACCTTTCTTTCAAGAGTTGCAACCCTTTGATGGTACTCTTCTCGCAGGGATTCAATATCTACCTCACTGGCTTTTCCCTGAAAATTAGATGAGAGAAAAAGGAAATTTGAACTAAAGGGATAAGTTTGAAGAAGGATGACATATCCATTACCTATGATAGATATTAGCACATTAGAGTACAATAAAAAATCAACGAGAAGGTTCAAAAGTTATCTTTTTAGGTGTTTGGCAAAAAACAGTGAAGCAAATATGCTATGTTGAGACCCACACCTAGATGTAGAAGCACCATTATGTAGGACGAGAAATACAAAATAATACTCCCTATGATCATATATAATGTTCCCATTTTCTTTTTGCGCAGAATTTAAGGAGAAAGAAATTGTGCAGTTGAAATTTATGCATTTATACAGCGAATGGAAAAATAATTGTGAACCACACAATTCATTCTTGAGCAGGGAATGGAAAAATAATTTAGAGACAATCTAAAAAGGAAAGTGGGAACATTAAAAAGAGACAGAGGAAGTAATGTAAATGCTCAAACAGAGACATACATAAGGGAAATTTCACTATTAACTTGCAGGTGAGCATATCACTTCAATGTAGCAATAAAAATTAAATACAAACAATAGCCATGTACATACAAAAGCCTGCAAAAATGAGAAGAAAATGGTACTCACTCTCAGATCCTCAACAACAGCCTTTAGATGCTCATTTTCATTCATCAGTTTTGCAATTTCATCAGCTTTTGCCTATAAGGGAAAATTAATAATTAGTATGGTTGACTTTTGAACATGTATACATTTCAATGGAAAATAAGAATGATGAGTTGTGATCGACAACACTTTTTTTTTCAAAACCCAACAGAAGTGTTTACCACTAGAGGAACTTTTAATTAACTTTGCTAGGTCAATTCAAAATTTAGAAAGTTTGTTCACTGCACTTGATATAATTGTAGAGCCGTCTTTAAAATACTAGCTGTTCTGTTAGATTCGAATCTAAATTCCAGAAGAAGAATTAGGGTATGACATGCTTGGAAACATGTTCTCCAATTCTTCAAGAAAACAACAGTGCAGACATATCAGCAAACAAATGATAGGTGAGAAATGAAAATCGCCTAAAACACTTTATATATCCAACTGTGATGGAGAAAACGTTCTGATTTTATAAACTTCCATTTAGCATGGTAAGTCCAGCATGTATTCCATGAATCTTAAGTCTTAACAATGAAAATGAAGTAAACCCTACAACTCAATGCAAGCATATGATTCAGAAATTTCTCCATGACATGCATAGAGAAAATACCTGTGCTTGTCTAGCAGCACCTAACAGTGCAGATTCCATCATTTTCATCTCTCTTTTCACTTTTTCTAGTTCAGCTACCATATTGGAAGCATCTGTCAAGTTGGTCCCTGAACTCAACTGCTCTGTAAGACCTACCACATTATCGATTGCTCTCTGGTTGACCTCAACAGCTTGAGCAATTACATTATTTGTATGCGAACTCGAATCAGAAACCATCTCTGAAGCTTCTTCATCATGTTGGACAACAGGAAAGTTAGTTTCATAATGTTCCTCCGAAGGTCCAGTTTTATTAGACTCAGCAGAGTCAGAAACAGAATGCCTTCCACTTTCAAAATGTCTGGTTGATTCATACTGAAAGTCAACTGGAGAAACTTCCTCTTTGTTCTTTTCCTTCTGTTCATCAGTCTCATTTGTGTTCTCCTGTGAATTAACAACATCATTGGATGGATGAAATGTTATAGTGCGAAGTTCATCTTGAGAGGCAATAGTGGCCGATATTGATTCTAACTCTGCCAGATTTCCAATATATTCTGCATTTGAAGCCTCCTTTTTTGGTGATTTAGAAGACTCTCCTTCCTCGGCATGCTCAGGTTTGCTTTCAAATACTTCAGCTGGTAAATCAGGTTCATCTTGTCTTTCAACTAGAGCACTAGCAATATTTTGTTCTTCACTCCCAGGTTTTGTTTCCTCAGCAGAACCTTGTTTTGCTAAGCTCGTATCAGCTTCTTCAGCAGATACAGTTGGGTCCAGTTCTGCATTTTCATTGTTCACGTCTTCAGTGGACATAACTGGCTCTGGTTTCAGATAAGCGTCTCTTGCTTCTTTAGAAGAATACTCTAGCTTCACATTAGAATTTCTTGACAGGTCATTATCTTCTTTGCCAGAGGTAATTATTTCATCAGTTCTTATTTCTGCTTCATAGCTTTCTATAGGGGCAGCAGGTTTCTCAATTTCTGAATCGGCTGAATCTTCAATGGCATTCTCCACCGTAGCAGGGATGGGCGTCGAGGCGTCAGTGTCTTCTATAGACTCCGTATCCTCCCCACCTTTATGTCCCATAAAGGCCATAACAGGGTTAAACAGTGTGTTCCGATCCGTTGCTGCAGGCCATAACCCTGACGCTGGTAAGCGGTAGCCGCATGAAAAAAGAAAGAAAAAGACAAGAACAAAAAAAACATCACAAAGCAAGAAACTGAACTTCTCTTGCTAAAGCACATATAGCACTATGAGCTGTTCTCGTTTTAATTGCTCTCCATAGTCCGTCCTACTATGTTTGGGACATGGAATGTTGGAAATAAAATAAGAAAAAGTGGAATTGTGTGGTCGATATTGGATATGTAAGAATGATTTTGGACCATACAAATATACCAGATACGGAATGGGGAAAAGATAGTGATAGTGGGGTGGATGGAGTAATAGATTGCATCCAAACCAATTGCACAGATAAAGCCAATGGCCTTCCCAATTAAACAGTTTCAATTTCAACAAGCATTCCTTCAGCAATAACTATGGACAACAGTACTATTACGGAATCACTCGCTAGCTCTGACACAGTACTTAGCTAGGTGTATATGTGGCGGGAGCCAATTCGCTTTAGGCTCAATGGATGAGTCTTATGGGAGTATAGAGCTCATAACAAACATAGCCTAAGCTGGTGAACTTTAACAGTTTAGCTACACAAGGAGATTCTAAATTCAATAGAGATGTACCTTCGCTATTACTGGCATCGGCTTTATCCTCAAGGCCTAGAGCGCTATCGAAGTTTTTCTCAATGTTCTTAACGCTCTCACTGAGTTTGTTCACTGCGCCGGCAAGATCCAAGTTCCCAAGAGAGATACCGCTACCGAACCAAGCCATCTTCCAGATAAATTACAGTCGATCAAACACTCTAATCACATCGCTAGCTCCATCAACCTTCCAAATCAAATGAAAATAAATACAATTCGATGAATTTCACGATAGAACAATGAATACCAGTAGCTGGAACAAATGGTTTCAGCTTCAGTTTTGCAACAGTGGCTTTTGCAGAGATCCTATTGATCATTAACAGATCTCATAGCAGATACGAATTCATATTCGGTGGATGTGACATTGTAACCTGTTTAAGGGTTATCTGGTTGTGGGCTGCGAATTCAGACGAAAAAACGGTCTCCGGCGGAGGCGTGAAAATGCCAATCTACCTTCCCGGCGCGATGGCATCATTGTCATGGTATGTCACTCCGTCGGTATCTTATTTTGGTTTTTTTACCTTTTCTGTTTCTTGTTTGGAATAATTGCAGGAAGCTTCCTGAAATTTGCCCAAATTGCTTGCAGATCCTTGCTATGTAGACCCAACCATGGGCCCGAGTTCGAGCCCAGCCCATAAAAACTCCTCCACAAAATAACCGACTTGGACTTTTATTTTTGGTGCACGGATCGGCCCGAACTATCTAAGTCAGCCCCGCAAACTTAAGTGTTCGGTTCGTACTTTATGTCCAAGCCTACGGATCAGCCCGACCTGATATTGTTGTTGTTGTAATAAATAATACTCGTAGTAATCCATCCTGGGGAAGACTCGCGGCCTAGATGGACGACATGATAGTCAAAGTTCCAAAGAAGACGACCATGCAGATGACTCAGGTTAAATTCCAGAAATGCCCTTTCGAATGAAAGATGAAAAGTTTTTAAGGTAAATGGGCAACAAAAAGGAATCGAACCTAACCTGGAAAAAGTCAATGACATCCTCAACATGGAATCTCCCCTAACAGCGAAGGAAGTCCAAAGGTTGAGTGGGAGATTGGCGGCACTCAACCAATTTTTATCAAAATTTGTTGAGAAGAGTTTGTCATTCTTAACTTCAAGATAATGTGGAAGAACCTGAGCTTCTAGTGGAACCTAAAATGCCAGCCAGCATTCGAAGAATTAAAGAGCTAACTTAAAAACACTACGGGTGCTCTACAAAATGATAAAGGGAGGTATCTTGATCCTCTTTTTTTATAGAGGGTCGTTGCGCTCTTAACAACGTCCTCATCCAGGAGGAAGAAGAGGAAGAGCGCCCCGTGTTTTACACGAGTAGGTCGCTCCACCACGTTGAACTTCGATACACGATCGTAGAGAAATATGTGTTAGCAATTGCCATGACTGTCAAAAAGTTGACTCATTACTTACAAGCCTGCATGGTCCATGGTAGGACATAGAACGCGTTAACCATTTAGTCCAATAATGAAGAGTCTAACAGCATCAACGACATGTGTGATGAAGTGGTCCATCTTTCTTAGTTAGTTCAACATAGAGATCAAGTCATGACCGTCGATTAAGGGATAAGCCCTGGCGGAGTTTATAATAAAATCCACACAGAGGACAATACCCATACTCCCATGCCCGAGGAGGGGGGGATGGTGAATCATGCCCACTGCTAGATCCTCAGCCCCAAAGTCTTGTGATGGGGGGATTGTCCCCGCGACGCTGGAAAGATTCCATAAAATTTTAAAATTTTAAGCATTTTTTAGTTTTTACATGGACAAGTAGTTATCTAGACAAGTATGAGGACACAACGATCACCTTGCCACCTTTAAAGTTAGAGTGTTGCCATTATAGGAGTGCTCGGCTTCTTGAGATGAGGACATTGTCCAATGTGAAAAGAAATGTTCAAGAAACGGTTCAATGCAATGGACAAAAAAAGTGCCACCATCAAAGACAAGTACAAAAGCATTCCACACAAGTGAGAATCGAGTAGTCGAATGCATGGTCCAACATATGAGGACGACTTCCAAAAGCTAAAGATGATCATATTGTCCCACAAAATGATGAGGCCGAGACACCAATGAAAGCGCCAATGGTGGCTCTTGAGGACTTAGGTAAGGAGAAAAAAGAAAGAGAAAGTGATTCATATATTAAAATATGTGTTATGGATCTCATCCCAAGCCCACAAGTCGAGGAGGATTATTTATAAACAAAGAGTATACATAACGTGCATGCCTAAATCTCAAACTAGGCTACCAAGTCATTCTAGCCTTCTCGACTAGTCCCCTCTTACTAACCCATGAGGGCAGGAACGACCACGATCATGCTTATAAGATGAGGCTGAAAATGAGCTGCTAGACACGGCTCATCGAATATTGTACCTTAAGCCCTCTTCAATGAGCACTAGAAGTGTGATGGTGGGAGTGACAATGTGATATTGCTGCTGACAGTGTGGTGGCAATGGTGACAATGTGGCAGTGGCAGAGATGGTGGAGTGACAATATGATAGTGGTACTGCGGCATGCAATTGCGTGAGCTACTAAAAACAGGTGGCTCTCATCTTCCACGTGATAATATGATGGCAAACTTGGAATGTTAAAAGTTAATTACTTTTATCATTTTAGTGTACGAATTTAACTCATATTTTAGGTTTCTAATCTCAATTACTTCTATATCAATCTTTCTTCTAAATAAAACGAGGTGAAATTTCAATTTTTTAAAATTCATTTTAATTAAAAATGTTAAAGGAATAAAAAAATTTACATATTCATAAACTGAGTCAAAAGTTCTACAAAATAAAAGGTAACAAAAATGTTTAATTTTATCAAATAGTCAATTAAAATACAAATAAACTAAAATTTTTGTAAAATATATTAAAAGTTTTATATAAAAAAAGAGGCGAAAAATGATTATCTTATCAAATAATTAATAAAAATATATAATTAAATACAAACTCTATGAGTGTTTTATTATAAAGGCCATGTTTGGTAAATGGCGGTTCACCCAGCATTTGGCATCTTTGACCATAAACGGGAGATTGGACTAGTCAAACCGCTAAATTAATTGTTTGGATAATGGCTTTTGGAATTGCCATTTGGAACCGAACCGCCAAAAATTGAAATGCCAACCCTATCAGCATTTCATTTAGCAGTTCACCCTCTTTTCCATTTCTTACCCTTTTTTTGGTGCTGCGTCACTCTGCGATCCTCACGGCACCGAAAGTTTTCCTAGCTTTCTTTCTACAATTCCCTCACGGCACCTCTCTGGCTTTCTCTCTGCGATCCTCTTTGCACCAGATGTATGTATATTTTTATAAATAATGAATTGTGTATGTTTTCGTGAGGGAGGGACGAGTATAATTTAAAAAAGGGATTTTGAAGAAAGCTGGCCAAGATTAGCACTTAGTAGAATATTATTGTCATGATCAAGATATTTTGTAAATCCCGTAATAAATAATTGAACGCTATAGATTTGCATAATTTTCTTCTGTTTCTCTTGTTCTGCAATTCTGCCTTTTTTAAATGTTGCGATTCTGTTTTATTTTTCTGCAATTCTGTGTCTCATCTTGATGGAAAATAATACGTGGCTCGGACCACATTTCCCAGTTATTTATGAAGAATAATCAAACCGGGCTAGTTTAATAAAATAGAGGAATAAGAGAATATTTATCCATAGATGCTCTAGACTATAAAAGAGAGGGTTTCCCTAATTGTTAGGGGATGCCAATTTCATTCTTCACTCCTTCCCTGCTCAAATTCCTCTCTCTCTCTCTCTCTAGATTTTATGTATTTTATTTCTTCCAAGAAGCTTCAAGCTTCCATTAATGGCTTTCAAGCCTAAAAAATGTACCGTGTACAACCCTGATATCAATAAAAATCTGCCGTAGGCAAGGTACTGCCAAAAAAGGCCCGTTGTTTTCTTCCGATTTGGGTTTCCACGTCAAAATTCTTGTGTTTATATTTTGTTGTATTTTTTAGACTAGTTTATCGTTTTTGCCCGGCTAAAAACGATATACCGGTCGATAATTTACACCATCATTTTGGCGCCGACCGTGGGACACTAGCAAAAAGGTGTGTTCTACCACCTTCCCCAATCTCAAAATCATGTCCGCCGAAAAAAAATAAAAGGAGGGAAGAGTAACAAAAAATAAAACGATTACTTCACTCATGTTAAAAAAGAGAGAGAAAAAGAAAATAGCATAGAAAAAAGAAAGACTTGAGGTATGTCAGTGTGGTCTTTCCATCTTTATTACCGTGGATTCGTCGGCACCACTGCTGCTAAGGCCTGCCCTCACCTCCTATTGAGGTTTGAAAGATACTAGGGCTATTTTTTTGGATGGAGCCTTCTAGATCTACTCATTTCCGTTGAAGTACGTGATTGCCGCCGATGCCGTCGAATTCAATCGACAGGATTGCCGCCGCCGCCGCCGAACTCAATCATCGTTGGTCGTTGGAGCCATTCACCGTCGTCCATGTCTAGCGCCAGAGGGCTGCGTGATGCTGACTAGTTGTTGTATCTGTAGTCGCTGGAGTCTATTGATAATATCTTGAGGTACGCCATTACCGACAATGGAGTTGGATGGATTCGCCGTCGGCATTGGTTGAAATTGAAGCCAGAGTTAACCGCGCTTCTATTTGTTGCCAGAGGACGATTCCTGGTCTCTTTTGCCGGCATTAATAGTCGTCTACCACTAGAGAGCGCCGCTGGCGGATTCCTGCTGGTCCATCTCCGCAAGAAGTGAATCTGAGGCCGACCTCTTATCTTTGTGGCCACCATATCCGATCGAGGAAGCCGCAAATGCCACCGCTCAGGTCGTTGAAGTCATTACCCACGCTGATACAAAACCGCCAAGTTGAAGCGCCCTGCTGCTAATCTTAATCTTCAATGTCAATCACCTGCACGCCGGTCTTTGGTGGCTCCCCGCCGTTTGCTCCACGACTCATAGCCTTTTCTTGTTCGCCTTCTACGACGGTGGCACGTCTTGGGAGAAGCAGGTTCGTGCATCGTCCACTCCCCGCCACTGCAACGGGTTCTCCGTTCTGGTCGTTGGCTTCGTCAGGTCCCACTCTACCCTGGCGCTCAAGAAGCTAAGCGAAGATGTTGGTGTTGGATAATTTTAACCCCCTAATTTCGCGATTGAAGAATGGCTGCCACCATTAGAGGTGTTCGAGTCAAAATCCGTCTGCAGTTGCTACTAGAAAAGTCTTGATATGTGATAAGATTTGGTTGGAAGAGTGGCCAGTCCTCACATGCAGAAGCTTGGCATGATAGTTTACAAAAGAGGAAGATAAGGAGAAATTCCAAAAACATGTGTTGTGCATCCATTGAATTATTCACATGTATGGAGAAGATGGGGCCCACCAAACTCAAATGATTCAAAATGGGAATTTTGAATACTACATACGGATGATACAAAGGAAATGAGGAGGAAGCAATAATTATCATGCCCTCCCCACTAATAAGTGGTGTTGTTTCATTCCACCAAGCATTATGGAGCAAAAATTTGGGTATTTGCACATGCCTTTTGGACGAATTCGGAAGGAAGACTGATACACAGGCCCGGACCTGGCACACTGGTTACTACACCGGTCTTGCTCAGTATAAAATAAAAAAAGATAAACTCGGAAGAGGGGCCCCGGATAAAGGGGTATGCCTGCAAGAGGGTTGGACCTGGAAGAGGGTTCGAACCGTACTTACACGGACTCATGAAGTTTGACTGCTATTGGGGAGTCAGCCGAAACCGACAAACTGATTGGTAACTAAAAGATGCCCATTAAAAGAAATAGAAAAGAATCATTCACCGCAATGCATCCTACTCCGACCGTATCGGATTCCCCCTTCTCAGGGAAGACTTGAACGGGAGGGTGAGCTAAGGCCTTCCCGGGATAGTAAACATCAAAGGGTCATTAAAAGACTTAATCACCTAGAAGAGGGGAGCCTGGAAGAAGGGTGCATTTTGGTCTTTAGAGAGGGCTCGAAACCATCCGACATGGTTAATTCTCCAATGTTGATCTGGCCCGGCCAGCAGCATTATCTTATAGGAAGACTGAGACACAGGCCCGGCTTGGCACGCTTGTTACTACACTGGTCTTGCTCAGTATAATAAAGAAAATATGTAACCCAGCCGAACTGGTACGCTAGTCTCACACCAGTCTTGCACATATTTTCCAATAAGCCTGAGCCCAATCGAATTGGGTACACCGGTTGCACATTGGTTTTCTGTAAAGAAGTGAGCTGAGCTCATATCGGGGACGCCCGATTCATTTTAAGCCCTCCATCTGAGGTACTTTTATCGAAGACGGTCTCCGCGAGACATGAAAATATTTACATCAGTCATCCGGGCTAACACTTCAGTTCTTATTAACTAACGTCGTTGTCATCAGTATACTAATTTCGTCATGCATCGTTTGCTTGACTCGGATTAACACCAGTCTCGACGAAATAACTACTTGAAGCATCGCCGCTTCATCGTACTAACTCCGGTGTCATATAACTACTCGAAGCATCATTGCTCTATCGAACTGACATCGCTCTCATTACAATAGTTATTCGCGTGAGTTTTAATCACTCTAACATCGAGCTCCTCGGTAAAGATAAATATTATTTGAGCACAACACAGGCCGGTCAAAAGAAAAAAATATTGTACATATTATTTTTTGCAGGGAAAAATTATGATTCAAGAAATTAGAGAATTAATGAAGACTCGGAGGACTAGCAATAATATCAACCGGTCAAGAATCCAAAGTATAAAGACTGAAGATAGCACTCGGAGGACTTATTTACTTTTTTAAGTTGATGATTCCCACAACTTAAAAAAGTGGAGAACTTCTTGATGGGAAATAATACGTGGCTCGGCCCACATTTTCCAATTATTTATGAAGAATAATCAAACCGGGCCTGTTGAATAAAATAGAGGAATAAGAGAATATTCCTCCGTAGATGCTCCCACTCTCTCCTATAAAAGAGAGGGTTGCCCTAATTGTTAAGGGAGGCCAATTTCATTCTTCACTCCTTCACTGCTCAAATTTCTCTCTCTCTAGATTTTATGTATTTTATTTCATCCAAGAAGCTCAAAGTCAAGAGCTTGTCTGATTTTTTGTCGCTTCTAAAGCTCATGTCGTCTCAAAGGATGTTTGATACTTCAGATTGTGATGCTTGTATTGAGTAATTTATTAAATCTTTTAATTTAAAATTTGTGTAGAGTATTTTTATATATTTATGATATCATATTTAAAAAACTATAAAATAAAATATATCATGCATGGTTGTTATTTGTAGAATGATAAATGAAAAAATACAAAAAAAAACTACTTATAAAATATAAATGTAAATTCTCATTTATTAATTTAAAAAAATGAAGTAGCATTTTTTGTCCAACAAAAAAATATATGTAAAACATTTTCTTGTATAATGTGTGTATTTTATCAAATTAAAAAAATAAATCATACACAAATTAACATAAATGGAGGGATATTTTTATATGTAATTTTACTCACAAACAGCTAACTCTAAACATCTAAAATGGCCAAACATTTAATTTTTAACTGTTAAGGGAAACAGCGGGTCAAAAGAGCTCAACATGTCATTGAAACTCAAACAAGGCTGTTCATATTTTTCGTGCAGGAAGCGAAGTAAAACCTTATACTTACTGTGATTCAAGATCAGAGTAACGTCTGAAAATGGAGACCACCGGAGTGCTGCTTAGATGCCCGATGTATGCATACTTAGAAAAAGAACTCGACAACCGATTCAAGCTCTACCGCTTTTGGAACTTCCCGCAGAGGAAGGAATTCCTGAGCGAGAACGGCAACTCCATCCGCGCCGTCGTCGGAAACGCCTCTCTCGGCGCCGACGCCGAGCTGATCGATGCACTGCCCAATCTGGAGATCGTCTCTAGCTTCAGCGGCGGTTTGGACAAGATCGACTTGGCCAAGTGCAGGGAAAAGGGGATCCGGGTCACCAATACCCCCGACGTGTTGACCGGCGACATCGCTGACCTGGCAATCGGGTTGATGCTCGCTGTTCTCCGAAGGATTTGCGAGTGCGATCGACATGTGAGGAAAGGATTGTGGAAGATGGGTAGCTTCGAGCTCGGGCTGACCACCAAGGTTTAATCTTTCCCTGTTTTCAACTACCTTGTTTGACAAAATTTGGGGTTTTACTACAGTGAATAAAAATATGGTTTTTAACTACAGTAAATAAAAATTTTGTTTGAATTGTTCAAATGAAAGGGCATTTCTCAGTCTTGTTTAGTGATCATTAGAATATAACCTAGTTATTTCTGGGTGATTTTCTGAAATTTTATATGCAATTGATATGTATAGTTTTCATGCCACAAATGTGCTAACTGCATTAGTTTAATGTGTGTTTTTTAAAGAACTGCTTGTTAGAATATAAATAACTGTTCCTGGGCCACAACCACAAGCTTGAGCTTTTGGTTGAATTTGTTCCTTGACATTGTATCGGAGCCTCGTTGACTAAGAGGTCACGGGTTCAAAACTCAGCGCCACCCAGTTTAAAAAAAATTAAGGTTTCACGTGCAAGGCTCGAAAAAGACTACGCATGCACGTGAGGAGGCGTGTTAGAATATAAATAACTGTTCCTGGGCCACAACTACAAGCTTGAGCTTTTGGTTGAATTTGTTCCTTGACACTGCTATATGAACTGAATATCATCATTTCTTTTATTACAAAAAATATCTGTTGCAGCTAGAGCTCGTGTTTGAAGCTTTTTATTTCACCTTATCGGTCCATTTTGAACTCGGGAAACGATAGGAAAGAAAACTGAGCATAATCCCAACACCCTTGATGCCTTTACTACACAGATAATAGAAAATTGGAAACACAATAAGAAATCTAAACATGCACTTCCTATATCCCATAAAAAGACCCTGATTCCATCACCGTACAACTTTTTTATTTTTGAATGAAGCACAACTATTACAAAGCCTGGAAGTTAACTTTTATTTAAAAAAAATTGAATACGGAGTATGATTTTTTGGACGAAAGTATGTCAAGAAACTAATCTCGTTTTATCGGATGGGGGTTGTATAACATTAATCATATTTCATTATACCTAGCATTTTCGGAGGCAAACCAAACACAAAGAGTTACTTTCATTGTCATTTCCTCCCCCCATTTCAAGGGCATTTTGTGTGACCCAAAAAACTCAAAATGCAGCTAGTGCCTTGAATTTTCATGGTTTTTTTGGGGGTAATATTGATGTCTTGATACTCATCTTAATTTCCTAACATCTTCGTGGCCATCATTGATTGCAGTTTAGTGGCAGAACCATTGGGATTATAGGGCTTGGAAGGATCGGGTCAGCAATTGCTAAGAGAGCAGAGGGTTTTGATTGTCAAATCTGTTACCACTCTAGAACAGAGAAATAAAACAAAAATTACAAGTACTACCATAGTGTGGTTGAGTTGGCTTCTGCTTGCCAGATTCTAGTTGTTGCTTGTGAATTAACCCCAGAAACTCGGCACATCGTCAACCGAGAAGCCATTGATGCTCTTGGCCCAGAGGGAGTTCTTATCAACATTGGGAGGGGCCCACACGTCGACGAGCGCGTGATGGTATCAGCTCTAGTTGAAGGGCGGCTGGCTGGTGCTGGACTTGACGTGTTCGAAAACGAACCTTGCGTGCCCGAGGAGCTGTTTGCGCTCGACAATGTAGTCCTGTTGCCCCATGTTGGAAGCGATACGGTGGAAACATGCAAGGCCATGGCTGATCTTGTTATTAGCAATTTAGAGGCTCACTTTCTTAATGAACCACTACTCACCCCTGTGGTATGACTTTTCTGTGGACATGCTGGTATGAATCTGTTTTGGAATATTTTTATTCGTCATACGTGTTTGTGTGTCGAGTATGGCTGCTTTCCGTTCGCCCGATGTGATTGTAGTTATATTTAAATCAAAATCAAAATACACTTATAGCAGTTGTAAGCGATCCCTTGACTCCGACGGGAAACGTAGATAGAGTACTTCAGGGTCTTCTTGCTCATGTGGTCACCCGTCGGTCAGCTGCCCCTCAACCGCGTCAGAGGTCTTTCTCAGCGTCAAGAAATCGATGTCCACAATCTCCGTCAGGGCTAAAGTCCTTCAACACATTTCTGTAAACAAGTAGCTAGCTAGGAATTGCAGTAGCTAGGCATCTCCACTCATACTGTTTCATCAAAATTGGGTGCCCTTCATCCCTAATGGTACGCCATCGACAAACCCAACTTGGGTTTTCACCCTTTCCCACAATCCCACCTCACTTCAAATGCATATATACATTACAACCGTAGCTACTGCAATTCATTTTTTTTAATTTGCAATACTTTTTTTGTTTACTGCAAATTTGGTTTTATTTTATTTTGAGTAAATTTTTAAAATGGTCCTTTGTAATAGGGTATTTTTTCAATTCAGTTCTAATTGCTTTTATAATTGAGATCTATTCTTCAGGTTGTCTTTCGTAAATAATGTTACTCAAATGATAATTAATTAAAATGTATTTTGGTATTTTTATCATCTAGAATTTAACATATATGCTTGAAATTGTCATTTCTATACAATTAACTGTAAATTTAAAAAATATATTGACTATACATAATCCATGAATTATTAAAAAACTATAAAAAATCTTTTAAGATTTGAATCAAATAAAAATTTTTAATTAGAAAAAACCATTTTGGGGAAACACTTCATTAGAAATCATCATTTTAAAAACTTATTATAAATTTAATTGATAAAAATGCCAAAATACCTCCCAATAATTATAATTTGAATAATATTATTTACGAAAGACTATCTAAAAAGTAAATTTATATTATAGAGGATCACATAGGTAATTAAAACTTATTCACAACTGATTTAAGAAAACATCTTTTTAGAGAGTAGAGAGGACCATTTTGGAAATTTACTTTTTTATTTATGTATTTATCTTTTTAAAGTTTAATGTATTTTTTTAAATTTAAAACTAAAAGTATGAAAAAAGTAATGAAAAAAATATATTATGATTTGAGTTTGAGTTTGGTATAATAAATGGACATGATTCCGTTGAAACTAACCAATGGTGCCACTAGCGGTACTACTGCATTTTTAGAGCACACCCGTAACTCACCCCCTTAATCCCGACTCAGCCCACCCTAAGCAATGCATAATAGTCACACATTTGTAGGAAATATAGGGGGTCTAGGGTGGGGGCGTAGGGGTCAGGTTAATGTTGGGTGTGGGGATTTAGGGGGGAGTAGTTACACATTTAAGGGGATAGAGGGGGTCTAGGGTGGGAGCGTAGGGGTCAGGCTAAGGTTGGGTGTGGAGATTTTGGGGTTAGAGAGGTGGAAAACGTCAATTTTGTGAATGGAACTTCAGAGGATCTTCCATTGAACGAGTCTCATCCGTTGACACTGGAAGCAGTATCAATGAAATCTTGTCCATAATAAATTGGGGAGATAAATCAAATCATTTTGAGTTTGTACTGAATTTGGGGCTATCGACTAGAGATGGTCTTAGACTATCCGCAATCACACTCCACTTCCTAACATTTGACAATGTGTTCCATCGAATGGTCCTGCAAAATCAATCTCATTTTAGTTATCGACCCTCTTCCCTACATTGGAACTCCACTAGTTTCTTAATCCGTGCGATGTACGATCAGTAGTTTGAAACAATTAATGAGATTAATATATGAAATTAATCGTGTATATAAGAAAACAGAGCTAAATCGTATTCAATATAATTAATGGCGGTTAGCCTCAGGGGTGTTGTGTGATCTGAAGATCTCGCCCAGGATGAAAGGTAAGTTCTATCGATCCGTAGTCAGACAAGCTATGTTGTATGGTGCAGAGTGTTGGGCGGTTAAGAAAACTCATGTGCGTCGTCTGCATGCGGCGGAGATGCGGATGTTAAGATGGATGTGTGGAAAGACAAGGTTGGATAGGATTTTGAACGAAGTTATCCGACATCAGGTAGGCATGGCGCCGGTGGAAGATAAGTTGCGGGAAGCGAGGTTGAGATGGTTTGGTCATGTGAGACGGCGAGATGCTAACGCCCCTGTACGGAGATGCGAGAGGATTACGATTATCGGGAGAAGTAGGGGAAGGGGTAGACCTAGGAAGAATTGGAAGGAGGTGATTAGGCAGGATTTAGGACTTCTCACCCTGACTGAGGATATGGCCTTACATATGAACCTTTGGAGAACTAGGATTAGAGTAGCTGGATAGGAGCTCGGTGCTGTAGAGGTTGTTTGTAGTGTGTTGTGTTTGTTTGAAATCTTTTGCTATTGCTTGTACTTGTTGCTTGTACTTGGTGCTTTACCCGTACTATACTGTGTTCCCTTCCATAATTTTGTGCAGGTTGAGCCGGGGGCCTCTTGGAAATAGCCTTCCTACTTCCGAGTAGGGGCAAGGTCTGCGTACACACACCCTCCCCAGACCCTACTGTAGTGGGATTCAACTGGATTGTTGTTGTTGTTGTTGTTACATTACATCGTAATGTTGGTAAATAATAGTCAAACAAAGAAGCGAAATTAAAGGTTCTAAAATACTTCTTTGTGCACTACATTTTTTGTTGTACTTGAAGTTGGCAGGTCATCACTACAAATCAAAACCTTTAAACCATGTCGATTGGTAACTCGAGAGACAGCAATATATAGTTGACCATTTTCCCGTGTGTTGTTTGACTAAATAAGTCTTTCCCGTGCGTTGTTTGACTAAATAAGAAAGAATACCTTTGGGTAGAGTAAATAAGTCTCCAATGGCGGTTGTTAAGGTTTTGATTTTGGTACCAACTCTTGGAGGAGAAACTGAGGATAGTAGGTGTGGAAGAGTAAAATAAAAGTTAATGGATTCTACATTAGTTCTTAAACAAGAACATATATTCAGATTTATGAAGGGATGATATTAAATGCAAGTGGAGTGCCTCTCTTCCCCAATAGTCTCGAGTTTGCAAATGGGATTTCAATAAATGCTCTAATTCAATGCAATATGATTTAAATGCAAATATATTGAGTTGTGCCTAATGAATTGTTTATTTTTCCAATAGGCTCGAGTTGTCCAGTAATAAATGCTCTCATTAAATGCTAAGTGATTTAAATGCAATAGTAGTGAGTTGATGTGTTTCTCTTCCCCATAGCCTCAAGCCCCAAGCGCATCATCTTAATAAATGATCTCATTTATTGCAATGTATTGATTGGGTATATATGTATATTCACGGTTATAACTTTTTATATCCTTATCTAATATCATTTTTATTTTATTGAGGTCAAAGTTTTCGAATGTTTACCCAAAAGAATCCAAAGTGGAGAATTTTTAATTCAATAAAAAAATATTATTGAAATAAATATTTTCATTTATCCATTTATTTTTACATCGAAATATTTTGTATGTGAAACACACGAATGGATACACACACACACACACACACACACACACATATATATCAATAATCTATAATATTACAGACATCTTAAAAACTTCCAAAGGTCATTAAAGTGTTCATCTTTATAAAGATTATTATATTTTTCTATAAACTTTACAAATTTTGAATTGTTTTATAAACAAATTTTGAATTCTTTTAGGGTATAGGTAATGATGTACAATGAATGGAAAATAGTAGTAATTCCGCACTAGTAATTATGCATAATTAATGTAGGTTAGCATACTAACCTGTAGTATCTAACCTAGAGATATTGTATCATAGGTGCGTGGCTCCATAAAACAACTTTAAAGGCTGAGACATAATTGTGTGGTTGTAGATAACACCTTTTAATACATCTTTAATAGGTTCGTGGCTCTAGACAAAACCTAAATTATTGCTTTATAGGTTTGTGGCTCTAGATAAAATTATAAAAACATGAAAAGACGGTAGTACCTTACCTAGAGCCTCAAAAAATTTTGCTTTTCAAAACATTTTTCGTATCAAAAGATTTAGACATTTATTATATATTAATGGGTTCGTGGCTTTATGTTTATTAATCCAAGCCCACATATTTTATTAACCAATACACATTAATCGGTTTACGACATAATAAATCTAATTAAAAGAACAAAGGAAATAGCCACATCGATCACTACAATATGCCTTTGATTTTTATAACTTGTTTTTCAATCTCATTGTTTTTGTATCCTTAATGATTAATTTGTTGAGTTTTATTTGTAATATGGTGATGTATGAATGTCTTTGCTCTAAATTCATTTAATAATTAAGTTGTTGAGAAACATAGAAGCCTTAATCCGACATAGAAACTAAAAAAATGCACATTTGAACTAAGTATTTCTCGAATTTTAAAATTTGATTTCTCACGTTTCAACAATAGAAACGACAATTAATTCCGACATATCCATTATTTCTATAGAAACCATATATAGCAACATATTTGGAATAAGTAAAAGAAATGACATTAATATAATACTTAGAAAACATAGGATTACACTACCTTCTGACAAAATGAGCTTTAACAAAATAAAGAATGGACAAAAGCCAACCATACGTAGCACAATGTTTTAGTACACACTTAAAACTGTAATTAAGTACTTGAGAGGTCAAGATGAGAAATTAGTGCCTGAATAGCATTTTCTAAATTGGCAAAAATCATTTAATCGCCCAATGCAAAAGCACATTCTCCATCCTCGATTTGCCTCTCATTTCTCCACCTTGATTGATTTGAGCTTTTTTTCAGACTTGGTTGTTGAAGATTCGTCAAACAATCTCCTCTTGATTGGATCATCTGGTTCAACCAGTATCTCCTTCGTGGACTTGTACGAACTGCTTTCACTCCCAAACATCTCGTTTGAACCAATCTATTTTTTCAAAAAACAAAAAACATCAAATGTTAATTAAAATCCCTAGCCCGGTATAAGCACCATATAGTGTGTTTAGATAAATAGAGACAATGTAAAAAAATACGAATTAAAGATATCAATCGAAGCAAGTGTAATTTAATACAAAAGTTTGTAAAATTAATTTTTTTATCGTTAATAAAAATTACAAATAAGAAACAAAACCTCATCATCATGGAAGACGACCTCCAAACGAAGCAACTTCGTAGGCGCGAATGGCTCGAACGTGGATGGCAAGACCAGTTTGGCCCTTCTCAATATTTGCCAGCTTTGTCCACAAAGAATGAGAGAATTGGTTTGAAGCCATTTTTCGAGATTGGGTGAGAGAATTTTTCACATTAAAAGTCCTTGGTATTGAATGAGAGAGAAGACATTCATATCAATAAAAGAAGAAGCCACTAACTAAGCTACCGAACAATTAATGTAAGAAATGACCTTTTCAATGACCAATAAAGTGAAATTTACTTTTCAGATGAGACCCTTTGAATTACCCATGTACACGATTACCCATGTCATTAGTCATTACCCATGCTACACAATTACTCATGTCATTAGCCATCATTTCGGACCCATCTATAACCATATACATTTTGGCGGGGAAATGCACTATTCATTTTCTCACTTTACTTTTGTATATTAGTAGATGTCGTAATTCTATATCGTGAGATGATCCGGGGGTGCTCCAATGCCCGGTTCGTAAAATTGACAGTTCCTAAGCTTTTAATTCCCGATAAACAATAATTTAGTCACTCCGTCCCAACCCGAACACATCTTCCATCTTTTCAATTGCACCCCAGAAATGATATGTTCCAAATGTAAGCAATGTTAGGGGGTGTTTGGCAGTGCGCTGCTTTTAATAATTTAGTTTCTGCTTTGAGTGGAAGTGATTTTACTCTGTTTGGCATGTGAGCTTCTGTTTTTCACCACCTCTATTTTGTACATAGAACAGCGTTTTGAAGAAGCAATTATAAGATGCTTTTTCTTTTAGCTTTTGTGGAAATCACTTTATCCACAAGTTAATCACTCCCAAAGACCCTCTTAATTTTTTACATTGTAAAATAGCAAATATTTTTCAGAAGTACTGCTTCCAGAACGTTGCCGTCAACTGGGATTTAAGATCGAAGTAACGTCTGAAAATGGAGACAATCGGAGTGCTGCTGACATGCCCGATGAATCCGTACCTAGAGCAAGAACTCGACAACCGATTCAATCTCTTCCGCTTCTGGAACTTCCCGTAGAAGAAGGAATTCTTGAGCGAGAACGGCAACTCCATCCGCGCCGTCGTAGGAAACGCCTTTATCGGCGCCGACGCTGAGCTGATCGACACACCTCCCAACCTGGAGATCGTATCTAGTTTCAGCGTCGGGTTGGACAAGATCGACTTGGCCAAGTGCAAGGAAAAGGGGATCCTGGTCACCAATACCCCCGACGTGTTGACCGACGACGTCGCTGACCTGGCAATCGGGTTGATGCTCTCTGTTCTCAGAAAGATTTGCGTGGGTGATCGACATGTGAGGAAAGGATTGTGGAAGATGAGTAGCTACAAGTTGACCACCAAGGTTCAATCATTCACTGAATAAAAATTTGGGGTTTTACTACAGTGAATACAAATATGGTGGTAAATCTTTGGGTTTTAACTACAGTGAATAAAAATTTTGTTTGAATTTTTCAAATGAAATGTGACTTCTCAGTCTTGTTTCTTGCTCCTCTGAATATTACCTAGTTATTTCTGGGTGATTTTCTGAAATTTATATGCAATTGATCTATATAATCTTGATGCCACAAATGTGCTAAGTGCATTAGAAAAATCCCAACACCTTAATCTTTATGATCTTGATGCAATTACTGCCTTGAACATCATATCATAGAAAGTAAGAAGCAAATCAAGATATCTAAACATGCACATCCTATCTCCCCCTATCACATAAAAAAGACACTGATTCAATCACTTTAAAACTTTTACATTTTTGAGTAAGGTACACCCATTATGAAATATGATTTTTTTTGTTTGGATGAAAGTATGTCAAGAAACTAAGCTCTTTTTATGGGATGGGTGGAGCATAACATTAACCATATTTCATTATACCTAGTTTTTGAAGGCAAACCAAATAAAAACACAATCAAAATGCAGTGTACTGAATTATTTTATGGTTTTGGGGGGGGGGGATTTTTGATATTTGGATAGTCATCCTAAGCCTTTCATTGCCATCATTTGTTGCAGTTTAGCGGCAAAACAATTGGGATTATAGGGCTTGGAAGGATTGGGTCAGCCATTGCTAAGAGAGCAGAGGGTTTTGATTGTCAAATCTGTTACCACTCCAGAACAGAGAAACAAAACACAAGTTACAAGTACTACCCTAGCGTGGTTGAGTTGGCTTCTTCTTGCTAGATTCTAGTTGTTGCTCGTGAATTAACCCCAGAGACTCACCACATAATCAACTGAGAAGTCATCGAAGCTCTTGGCCCACAGGGAGTTCTTATCAACATTGGTAGGGGCTCACATGTTGACGAGCGCGAGATGGTATTAGCTTTAGTTGAAGGCCGGTTGGGTGGTGCTGGACTTGACGTGTTCGAAAATGAACCTAACGTGCCCGAGGAGCTGTTTGGGCTTGACAATGTAGTCCTGTTGCCCCATGTTGGAAGTGGAACGGTGGAAACACGCAAGGTCATGGCTGACCTTGTTCTTGGCAATTTAGAGGCTCACTTTCTTAATAAACCACTACTGACCCCTGTGGTTTGAATTGGCTGTGGACATCCCGGTACAAATCTCTTTTGAACATTTTATTTATGGTATATATTTGTGTTTGTTGAGTATCCCACGTAGGGATGACACAAATGGTTTCCAATTATATTCTTAGGATATTTTAAAGCTGTTCTAGTTCCGGAATAAGAGCTGCCTGTTCCTGTTCCCTACCAGAACCATGTCTACTGATCAGCATGTAACGAATAAGTTTCACTGGAAAGATAAGTTTCACTAGAAAGATAATTGTCTAGTGTTTTGCATTTTACTTTGAACTCAGATGCATATAGCTTTCATACGTTGAAAAAGGAAAGGTACATAGGTATGATGGTTACTGACTATAGGACTTTTACTCCCATGCTTATTTTCATCCTCCCTTCAACTATGCATTGGATGGCTTTGCTGTCTCATGAAGGAGAGCTCTGGGGAGAAGATGACCCCTTGAAGATGAGGAAGTTGAGAGTCTCCAAGGTGAAATAGATGAAAGTTCCTTTACTGTGAGTGAAGAAACAGCTGAAGTGTGACCCCACCACACATTGCCAACCACTCCCATATTCCTTGTCAAACTCCTGCACATACATTATTGCCAGGAGAAAATATGGTCAATCTAACTAATGATGGGAGGTGCTCATCTCCACTTCCTTATTTCACCAAAGGAGTGGAGTGGAATGGAGAGAGAACTTTTCTTGCACTCCCACTCTTTTCCCATCCAAACACACCTTTGAAATTCTACTAATTCTCTAACCATTTTCTGTTTTTTTTTCTCCCTCCCTTTTCTATCCTGCTTCTATATCTCTCTTCATCCAAATATATACTCCCTCCGTCCCACAAAAAAGTTCCTCTTTCTTTTTTCATCTGTCCTAAAAAACACTTCCCTTTTCCTTTTAAAAAGTCACTTTTACCCATACTAATTCTTAACCTACCTATTACATCACACTTTTTCTCTATTAATCTATCCATTCCATCCTACTTTATTCATCACATCAAAGAGGATTTTTGAAAAGTCAACACCAAAATACACTCTTCTTAAATCCTCAAAAAGTCAAAAGGAGAACTTTTTTGCGAAACGAGTAGATTATCATGGTACTGTATTAATTGAGCTCACCTACCTTACCTTCTTGATGTGAGCAGCAATGGATTTGCAGTCAAGAACATCATCATAAAGATCCAGAGCTTGAGAAGCACATGCCATGGCTTCAATCTGCATCTTCACTGGCATGTCTGTTTCTTCAATCACTGCTTTCCCTTCCAACATCTCTCTCTCTCTCTCTACGCTCTCTCTACCCCCNTGTATGGATGTGGTGGTATATATGATGGAAGCCTAGAAAGGATTTTTTTGCCTTAAAGAGAGTGCCATTTTTTTGCAGCATTAAATTTAAATTTAGATCCCACACACTACCAGCAACGGGGCAACACATCAGATTGTGGATAAGGACTACGGCCACGAAGCTCTAGTGTTATCACTAATAATAAAAAGTTGAAAAATACTTGCAGATTGTTAATATGTTTACTAAATATAGTAACTTTAATGGATAACCTCTATCGGTGATCAGTATGTCAAATCATTACAAATGACATACGGATAATTGCCAAATCATTACTTTCTATTTATAGCATATAGGGTACGTAATGTAACAGCCTAACGTATTTACAAGTAAGGGACTCAAGACCAAACTGGACCGGAACGAAGATCGAATTGAAAAAAAATCAACTGGTGACCGGACCAGCTTGCTTGCTCATTCTCTTACTACCAATTTTTTAAGTGTAAACAATTTTTGTAATGATGATGAAGTTTCTATTCAGCCAGCTGGCTCTTTCTTTTACTATCAATTTTTAGTAAGGGTATTTTAGTCATTTTAATTCATAAGGCAACCATTCATGAAAAAGAAGAAAAGTCCAAATGGGAAGTTTTTTCCCCGATAGATGGAGTAAATACTAATAATAAGTTGAAGAGTGTAGAATTTGGTAACTGAACGACTTGATTGTTTCATTGATACCGGAGGATATAAATACAAGTTACAAGCCCAACATGATAGGCCCACAATGTTACAAAATAATATACATAAACGAATATATACATAATATACGCTAACACTCCCCCTCAAGTTGGAGCATAGAGACCAAAAATGCCCAACTTGGACAAAAGAGAACGGAAAAGAGGACCGGGGAGCGCCTTCGTGAAGATATCAGCTGTCTGCAACCGTGTAGGAACATAGGCTGTAACAATATGACCACGCTGGAGGCATTCCCGAACTATATGACAATCGATATCGATATGTTTTGATCGCTCATGAAACACCGAATTAGCCGCAATGAAGAGAGCGGACTTGTTATCACAATAGAAGCGCGGGGTAGCAACACAAGGAACCTGTAATGCGGCCAAGAGACCACAGAGCCACCGGATTTCGGCGTAGGCGTTAGCCAGGGCGCCGTATTCCGCCTCTGCGAAAGAACGTGAAACGGTGGTTTGCTTCTTAGTGCGCCAAGAAATAGGAGATCCACCAAGAAGGACAAAATAACCAGTGACAGAGCGACGGGTGATCGGACAACTTGCCCAATCTGAATCAGAATACGCTGTCAAGGTCAGGTCAATATCACGCCGGAGGAGGATACCCTGTCCTGGGTGCCCTTTAAGATACCGGAGAACGCGAAGAGCCGCGGTCCAATGGTCCAGACGTGGAGCCTGCATAAACTGAGACAAAGCATGAACAACATAATAGATATCTGGCCAAGTAATGGTCAAGTACAATAAACGGCCAACAAGACGACGGTACTTGGCGGCATCCTGAAGCTCAGCACTAGTAGAGCAGGCGAGATTGTGGTTGTTGGGCAGTGGCGTGTCGGCAGGCTTGCATCCGGAGAGATTGTGCTCCTGAAGAATGTCCAATGTGTATTTGCGCTGATTAAGAACCATACCAGTAGATGATCGAGCACACTCTATACCCAGAAAATAAGAGACCGAACCAAGATCTTTGAGCTGAAAACATGCATCCAAGTACTTTTTAAAGGAAGTGCACAAGGAAGGGTTGTTGCCTGCAACAAGAATATCTTCCACATAAATAAGTACAACAAGTATATCAGGACCGCGACAGAGAACAAAGAGAATATGATCCGCATGGGCCTGGCGAAAGCCATAGCGACGCAGAGCCATACAAAGCTTGGCAAACCAATTACGGGGAGACTAACGGAGCCCGTATAAAGACTTTCGTAAACGGCAAACCTTCCCAGGAAACAAATGAGAGTATCTAGGTGGGAGCTTCATATAGATCTCATCCTGAAGATCCCCGTGTAAAAAGGCATTGTTGACATCCAACTGATCAAGCTGCCATCCCCGTGCAACTACGACAGACAACAACACCCGAACTGTAGCCAACCTGGCTACGGGGGCAAAAGTATTAGTGAAGTCAACCCCCACCTCCTGGTGGTTTCCCAAGACAACTAGACGGGCTTTATCCCGCTCCTTGATGCCGTCAGACCGATAATTAGTGCGATACACCCACTGACAACCCAAGGCCCGCCGATTAGGAGGAAGAACAGTAATCTCCCAGGTATGGTTGCGCTCCAGTGCATTAAATTCCCGTGTCATAACTTCCCTCCAATAAGCATATCTGACGGCTTCCCTATATGATGTGGGAACCGGAGAAGCATCAATAGCACCAAGAAAGCCCTTGTACCTGTTATGCAACTTATCATAATGAACATAGTTAGTAATCGGGAATCGTGTACCAGACGAGATGGAGCAAGGTGAAGAGGGAGATGGAGTGACAGTAGACACAGAATGGCGGGTGGGGAGGCGACGTGTGCGAGGAGGTAAAGGAGACGGGACGGACGAGGTAGACTCGCCCATCGACTGGACAGTGACGGGAAGAGGGGGATGTTCGGTTGACGGGACAAGGACGGGAGACGGGTGTGAGGACGATGGCGGGCTGGGTTGCTCGGTGGTGGTGTCGCCGAGGGGAAAGTCGACGTCGGCGGGGTTTAAGATGGGTTGGATGGAACTAGTGGTGTTTGGAACAGAGAACGAGAACTGGGATTCATCAAACACGACATCCCTAGCGTGAAAAAACTGGTGAATATCCATGTTATACACCCGCCACCCTTTTGTTCCATAGGGATACCCAATAAACATGCACTTCACGCTACGGGGAGAAAATTTGTTTAGAGGTTTAGGTGTTTGACGGACAAAACAGAGACAACCAAACACCCGGAGATGACTCAAATCTTGTGGTTTAGACGAAAGTACTTCAAGAGGAGATTTTCCACCCAAGAGTTTTGTCGGTGTGCGATTAATTAAGTAAACAACAGTTTTGACACATTCCCCCCAAAATTCAACTGGAAGAGATGCTTGAAACATGAGAGAACGAGCAACGTTGAGAATGTGACGATGCTTTCGTTCTACTCGACCATTTTGCTGAGGGGTACCAACACACGACGTTTGGATACAAACAACCATGGAATCATAATATTGACGCAAAGGGCATTGAGAAATTCTGTGCCATTATTAGACCGGACTACTTTGATGATTTTAGAGAATTGGGTGTGAATCATGATAAAAAACTGTTTAAGATAGGCTGTTACCTCACTTTTAGTACGAATAAGATATACCCAAACAGCACGAGAAAAATCATCAACAATTGTGAGAAAATAATGAGCACCAGATGACAAACAAGGGGAATAAGGGCCCCATAAATCACAATGAATTAAATCAAAAATTGCTTCAGTTTTATTATGACTAATAGGGAAGGAAGAACGAGTTTGTTTAGACAAAAAACAAATCTCACAAGCTTGAAGTTTCTTGACAAGAGAACCAGACTTATTGGACTTTAAAATGGAAATAATATCTGAGGAAGGATGACCCAAACACTGATGAAGAAGCAAAGGATCCACGTTAGCCACATTAGCCGACGCAGAGGAAGAAACTAGGATGTATACTCCGTTTCGCTTTTCACCCTGTCCAATTACCATCTTCGACGAATGGTCCTGTATTACACAACTAAAATCATTAAGTTACATAACAAGTGGTGTCTCGAATCAAACACCCGACAGAAATTAAATGACAATGCAAGGAGGGGACATAAAACACATGATGAAGAACCAGACTGGACGTCACACGGACACTCCCCTTTTTAGTAGCCTGAATCCGGGAGCCATCGGGGAGACAAATAGGATGAAAAGAAACATCCTCAACATTAAACATGTGAGACAAGGTGCCCGTCATATGATGTGAAGCACCGCTATCAATAATCCAATCACAAGAAGAGAAAATATCAGAGTAAGCATGGGATGATGAGGCTTCCAACATAGACATAAGCCGACTCATCTGACCACTGAGGGAGGATTGGGCGTCACTTGACGCCGCGTGCACGGTAGCGTGGGGCCCACTGCCGGTTGTCGCTACTGCCGGCTGGCTACTGCCCAGAGAAGCAGCTGGAGTGCTACCAGCGCCGCGACCTCCATGGCTGCCAGCTAGGCCTCCTCCACGGCCCCCACGACCCCACGGTTGCTGCCCGAATAACCACGACCACCGGGACCTTTGTTTTATTGAGCGGGGAAACCAATAAGTTCATAACATGTTTCGACTGTGTGACTAGTCCGACCACAATTTGAGCACAGAAACTTGCCGGTGGGAGGTGGGCGCCGATCGGACCGTGTGGTAAAGGCTACAGAGTCGGTGTGATCGTCACGTGAACGAACAATAGACCGGTGATGTTCCTCCTGCGAGATTAAAGAATAGGCGCGATCAATGTCCCACACAGGTTCGGTAGCCATAATTTGCGACCGAATATGACCAAATTGCTCATCATCGAGGCCGAGTAAAAAATCTATGGTTTTGTACCGCTCCACCTGTGCACGAGTGATAGCAGCAGCCGCACATGTACATCCATTTGTGTGATCCTTAGAAACATGAAGTTGATTCCATAAAGTAATAAATTGATTAAAGTAAGAGACTACACTTTGTCCGTTTTGCCGTAAGGAATTCAATTCAGACTTCAACTGGTAGATGTGTGGCCCATTGGAACAACTATACCTCTTTTGTAAATCATCCCATAATTCCGAAGCAATAGTATGAGAAACAATACTTGGTTGAATAGACTCATCAACACTGTTGAAAATCCAACTACAGATTATCTGATTATTAGCATACCAAGCAGACAGCTCATGTTCATCGGTGGGTTTGGGAACCCCCACGGAGGACAAAAACACAGATTTTCCACGACCACCAAGAGCGTTACGTATCGCTTTTTCCCATATGTCGAAATTATCACTTTTCAACAAATATTTAGTGAGAGAGTTACTGGGACCTTCGGAAGGATGGAGATAATATATAGATGATGGATCGTGAATCAACCGAGTTTTCTTTGTTGTGGTAGCAGCCTCGGCAGACATGGCGACAGACAGAGACTAGGATGCCGAGGAAGACAGGAGATTTGGACGGTTCACCGACAATGGACTGGCGGCGTTCCGGCCTAGGCAACCGGCGCAGGAGACCGGCGAACAATAGACACGACTTGCAGCGGCAGACCTAGGGTTTCACGTGATATCCCAGGTTTTGCTTCGATACCATGTAGAATTTGGTAACTGAACGACTTGATTGTTTCATTGATACCGGAGGATATAAATACAAGTTACAAGCCCAACATGATAGGCCCATAATGTTACAAAATAATATACATAAACGAATATATACATAATATACGCTAACAAAGAGAACATAACTTTATTCTTGTTGAGTATTTTTTATTCTTATTAGATTCAAATCAGGTCAGATTAGAAACAATTTTAAATATAACTACAATCATATTAAATCTGACAAGATCAACTCAGACCTTAATAAATTCAGATCAAAGAGTGAACAACAAATCCCTCACCCCTCCCCTTTTCTGAAATGGTCTATTTTAGTTTTTCAATTCGTAAATTGATTAAGTGTTGCATTCCGTTCACTTGTTCCGATTGCTTCTTATCTTATTTTTTAAAAATCCGATTGAATGAATCTGATATGATATAGAGTATGATCTGAGTCGATTTGAATATCTAATTAAACCAGAGTGAATCTAATATGATTTCATTCAAATTAAAGTTTAAATTATTACAATAATTTTATAATCTTTTAACATGATAATGATTATTCATATAATTATTATTTAATTCATCAACGTATAATACAATAAATATATAATTTTTATTCTAGATTTATTTTCTTTATAAAACCAAACAAATAATTAAATAATACATTGAAGGTGTAGAAGAAGAAAATCGTTGACAATAGCTTATCAGTTAAGAATAAGAATATTATGTTACAAAAATGATAACATTTGTAAATGTCGTGCTAATCGAGTTAGAAAGTGTGCTAGCATAAATTTCTAGTTGTAGAAAGTCCAAAAAAATTCTCACTTTTTTCTTTCTTCTTTTAAATAAACTAAAAGTTTAGAAATAACCTGTTTATAATATTAAAAATACTTGAATTAAAACATAGTCCTATTATTTTTTAAAAAGTCTTATAAAATTTTGTCAAATAGCCTAATTCTTCTCCCTAAGGATCCTTATTTCCTAATCACAAAGTTTAAAAAAATTCTTAGGGCCCTTTTTTCTGTTTAATCATCGGTCTAGTCAAGAGTATTGCCACATTGATGTTAAATAATTATTCTATCCGTCTTAAAATGTTTTTAAGTTATAAATTTTGATCGACTTTATTTTCAATTCAATGTATTTAATTGTAGGTGTAAAATTAAAAAATAAAATTTATATATTTAAAAAACTATTTCAAACGTTCTATTCCGGAGTACAAAACAAGATGTGACAAGACCATATTATTTCATCCAATAACTAACAAAAATAGGTGAATAAAGTGATTAAAGTTTAATCTTGTGAATAAAGTTTAATCTTGTGAATAGTAATTGGGAAGAATATTTAGAACAAATGAAATATTTATTAATTAGGTACTAATTAGGAAAATAAAAAAATGATTCTATTTATAGATAATGAGCACGGTGTATATTTTACTTCTTTTTAAGTAATTTTTTCTATATATTCATTCCTTTCAAAATTAACAATTCGATTTCTCTTTGACCAAGAATTAAATATAATTTTTAATCAATAAAAATTAAAAATATGATATACTAAAATTAAATTTTAAAATGTTATCACTTATATTAAATTTATATTATAATTTAATATTTTTATACGAGTAATTTACAATCAAAATTATCAGGAAAAAAAATCGGGACTAACTTTTAGACGAAGGAGCCACAATGTACCAGTGATCGGCTTGGATGAAACAGCGCCGTGACGGCCGGTCGTAAAAGTCAGCGGTCAAACCAATCACAGTTTGTACATCTTCAAAGAAGGCGCCATTGCAGCAGAGGGCAGATCTCATTCCAACTCAACATGTATGGCACCCCAAGATCCGCCATTTTCTCCCTGCTTCTCCTTCTCCTCATCCTCCTCTTCACTTCACTCTCTGCCGACCCCACCGCACCCGGCGGCGGCAATGGCGACGACGGCGACGACGACACGGGATCCCTTGAAGAACTGATAGCCCTAGACGAGGAATCGGAAGACGAAAGGCCCTCTTCCGGGGCCGAGATTCTCAGCAGAGCTCAGAGGATAGTGATTGAGCTCAACAATGATAACTCCAAGAGCGCGATTGGCGAGAATGAGTTTGTTTTGGTTCTGGGTTATGCCCCCTGGTCCGATGCAAGCGCGGGAGTCATGCCGAAATTTGCGGAGGCCGCCACTGCCCTTAAGGAATCGGGAAATCCCATTGTGATGGCCAAGGTTGATGCAGAGAGGTACCCTAAGGTCGCCTCCAATCTTGGGATCAAAGGGTTCCCAACTTTGCTTCTCTTCGTCAATGGCTCTTCTCAACCCTATACTGGTGGATTTTCTGCGTACGTATTTTCTTGTTCACTAGCTCCTATGTAGAGTTCTTTACAGTGTAGATGAAAATGATTCAGTTTGTGTATAGAGTATAGAATCTATTGATCTTTATATGTTGTGCCACATGTTGATTAGGGAAGAAATCATGGTTTGGGCAAAGAAGAAGACAGGCGAACCTGTTCTTAGGATTAATTCCATTGATGAGGCGAGTGGGGTTTTGAAGAAGCATTCTGTATTTGTAGTTGCGCTATTTGAGAATTTTGAGGTAATGTTTGTTTTCTTTGTTTTGAAATACTAGCTTAATTTACTAGGTTCATTCATGTAATGCAGCTGGCCGAAACAGATAGCTGGTTGCCCCTTTCTATGATTGGTTTCATATGATGTCTGTTTCAGGGGCACGATTATGATGAGTACATAAAAGCTGCAGAAAATGACAATGAGATCCAGTTTGTTGAAACCAGCAGCGTGGAGATTCTCAAAGTTTTGTTTCCTGAGGCGAAGCCTACGAAACGTTTCCTTGGTCTAGTGAAAAGTGAACCTGAAAAGTACACTTCATTTGGTAGGTTCATACCCGATGACTCTTAGTTTGACTCATTCTGTAGAGATGTTATTGTGTTGAGTACAGCTTAACCAAATTCTCCCTTAGTTTGGCTCGAGTCATAACTCTTCTATTTATGTGGATTTCAGAAGGAAGCTTCAAAACTGATGAAATCCTGCAGTTTGTAGAAGATAACAAATTGCCCTTGGTCAGTGTAATCACTGAACTGAATTCAGGAAAAGTTTTCTCCAACCCTAGGAAACTCCAGGTTCCATTTATTAACCATTTCAATGCCCCGAGCTGTGTTTCACTTGCCATTATTTGTATTCATTTCGTATGTTGAAGCCTACAAATGTTCAACATATGAGTTTATATGTCATTGTATTAGATTATCTTTTCGGTTGGATTCAATCTTTTAGTTTAGCCCATTTGGGTAATTCCAACCCCAACTATGAGTTTTAATAATGCTAACTTATGTGATTGACATTATAACCAAGGTATATGTCTTTGCTGATCCTGATGAATTCAAGAAACTCCTTAAACCCTTGCAAGATGTTGGGAGGAAATTCAAATCTAAGGTTCCAAACTGATGTTTTTCTGGTATGGATGTTGACTTCTATTCTAAATAGTCTTCTCACAAAAACAAAAACATTGGGGGAAATGCAGATAATGCTGATATATGCAGACATAAGAGAGGACAATCTTGTGAAGCCCTTCCTTTCTATTTTTGGAATAGAAGAATCCGAGGATACAACTGTTAGTTTCTTTTTGCAGCATGTTTCATTTCTTAGAGCCGCTTTGTCAAGAGTTAAAATGGCTTAAATGACTGATTATGAATGCTGGCGTTATGAGTCTGCTGGATTATCTATAAAAAAAAACAGTTAAAGAGTATAGATTTAAACAACATATTCCCTCTCTCCCATTTGATTCTTTACTTTGATTCTTTACACTTATCATTTTCGTCCGTCCCATTACATTCTTTACACTTCAATTTTTGACAAAAGATGAAATATCCAAATTACCCATCCTCGTTTTACCCACCCTATTGTCCTTTAGCCCCACTACCCTCTAACCCCACCCTTACCCTATTCTCTATTCGGGGTAAAGTTGGAAAGTTGGCATCAATACTTTATTTGCCTAAAACTCCATAAATTTTTAACCAATAGAGAAAGCGAGTATTTTCTAAGAAAAAAGTAGAAGCAACATTTTTAGCCATTTCAACCAAAGGTAATTCCTACACTAGTTTTCATCATAAAAAGTATTTGGTGAAAAGCTCATTGATAAGGTCAATAAGCTGCAAATAAAACCTACCAAATGGGCTCTTGAATATCTTATCATAAGCTAACTCATTTAGCTGATGATATTGTTTTTTTCCTTCTGTGAATTCTTAGGTAATTGCTTTTAATTACACTGACGGCTCCAAGTACTTGTTGGAGTCCACTGCCACACCAAGAAGCATTGAAGTAAAATAATTTAGACTGCCTTCTTTTGTCTTTCAGATTCTTACTCTTTCTGATTAATATAAATTAATTAAAGTTCTAAATCTGTAGGACTTCTGCTCGGGACTTCTGGATGGGATTGTATTGCCATACTACAAATCACAGCCAGTACCTGACAATGTGAGTCTCTCCTGAACTTTACCCAGGAACCCCATACTATTACAGCTCTGTTTGGCAATATGCCCAGCTAATAAGCATTCTCATTAAGTATAAAACTAGCATTTAGAGGGTATATATAATCCATCCGCCCTATAAAGAACTTCACTAATTGACTTTATGGAATTTAATAAAAGTGTTGAAAAGTCTGGTTGGAATTTGTTTAGAAGAGAGAATTGTTGTGAGATTACTTTCCTCAAAATGATAAAGCAGAAATGTGAATTTCTTTTGGGTAATACGGAGAGTACAAGTTCTTTGTGGGATGGGGGAGTACGAATCGTTTCATTACTAATCACTTTTCAATTGGAAGCATCAATCTTACTGACAATGAATGATCCGGGCATGTAAATTTGCAGACAGACAAAAACATTCTGGATGTGGTTGGAAAGACATTTGATGACATGATACTGAGGAGTCATAAAAACATTCTTCTCGAGGTTTGTCTGGACTTTTACTTTCATTTTTTACTTATGCATGTGCCCGACGAATATACCATACGAAAGAGTACACTATGAGGGTGCTACTATGTAGGTAAACTTTAACATGCATTTTTGCAAGATGCTGCTTTCGAGACACTAATTCTTGACCTCAATTCTGAATGTGATTTACGTTGGTAAACCTAGACCTAACGAAGCAGACCCGGAACCGATTAAATAACTAAAAACCAAACCCCAAATGACCCAAAAAATGAATCCTCGATCTACAATCAGAATTTGAGATGACCGAACCGAACCAGAAACAAATTCAGTCAAATCCCAATTATGCCCAAGACCTATTAGACTCAAATTAGGCCCGAAACCGATTAGACCTAAATCGAATAGACCCGAATAGAACCACAACAACGGAATCCAAATAATACCTAACCCGAATCATAAAACGATAAAACGAGAAGTGTGTTGTTACTTGTTAAAACATAGAACATTAGAATGTTTGTCTATCCTCAAACTGAAACCGAACCGGTTGATCCATTTGCCAAGTCTAGTTAAACCTATATTACTGTAGTTAAGTTATCTAGTTAAACATATATTAATGTAGTTAAGTTATCTGAATGTGATTAGTTGCATTAAAGATGAATTCTGTTCCATGTTATCTGCTCAAGGTACACACGCCATGGTGCATCTCATGCGAGACGACAAGTAAACAAATGGATAAGTTGGCCAAGCATTTCAAGGGTTTAGAAAATTTGGTCTTTGCAAGGATAGATGCTTCCGCTAATGAACATCCCAACCTAAAGGTCAGTTAATTTCTTTGTTTTAGCTATAACCATTGGCGTGGCCGGGTATCCCATATTTGAATATGTGGTGTGCTGGAAATTAAAAGCCACTAGACGTTAGGTGTACGGCGACAATTTGTGGGTCCTAGGCTCCTCGGACCTAGGTAGTGCATGTGAGGATTGATAGCAGAATAGCAAGGCTATACTAAGGTATCTTCGGGGTAAACTGAGACATGTTTGTATTATGTCAATTCTGTGCAGGTTGATGACTATCCGGCGTTGCTATTCTACCCACAGACAGACAAATCGAACCCAGTAACTATTTTACCTTTTTTAAAATAGAAAAAGTGCTTTTTTTTTAATGTTGCCTCATTCGGTTCTGAATTCTGATGTTCTTTTTGCAGATTAAATTTCCTACAAAGTCGAGCTTGAAAGACTTGGCAGCACTCATCAACAAGGCATTGAAAGAGTGGGGAACCAAAACGAAAGACGAGCTTTAGGAAACTGACCAGGCACCCACCCACCATAGCAAGGCAGATTCCCGAAGAACACGAAGAACATTGAAAACCAAAAAAAAAACCTTTGATTTTTATACATGGGTTTATTATAGATTTGTTCATTAGTAAGGGGCATACTTGTACTCACCTGAACAAGTGTAGCAATTCAATTCTTGATTGTTCCAAGAAAATTTTGTTAAGGGGCTTGTTTTCCATGCAATTTATAAATAATAAAAATCTTCATGTTATGAGAAAGAAACCGTTGAATGTCTGGTAATTTTACCAGTCTTCGAGTAACAATAGTTGGAATCAGAAAAAAGAGTGATGAAACTTGGCCAGAAAAAATAAAAAAAAATCTTAATTCATAAAAGCATCATCATCTATCAGATCAATCTGATAATCATTCAGATTTCATACTAGATAAACACAAGTGATTCACACCTTATTACACAGATCATACTATTGTTCTGTTAAAAGCAATCTTCAATCAGGGTCGGTTTTTTCGTCTTCTGATCTTCTAACTGGTCATCATCCCCATCATCGTCCCGATTTGTGCTTGAATTTTTTGCATTTTCACCGATAGATAGTCCTTTTAATGAATCGATGCAAGCTTGGCCGCCTTCAGGCACACCGGGCGCCACGAGAGCATCAGACTTCTCTTCCTTTTCGCCGGCGCCGACCACGACAACCTCATCGCCGGCGGCTTCAGTTCCCTTCTCGGTGACGCAGCTATCGGTGCTTCCGCCTATTCCATCTGCTATTCCAATGAGCGAATCCGATGAATCTGCGGCGACCGGCCACGGATCGTCCACGCAACTGCCATCTGCATCGCCGTCCGACGGGGAAATGGCTGACGACCGGACCGCGCTGGCGGCCTTGAGGAAAGCCTCTTTGATGGATTCCAGGGGAAGCGCACAGTCTTCGAGGCCGGCATCTTCCAATCTGGGTGGCCGGATTTTGTCCAGAAATCCCTCCTCCATGTTCGAAACTCTACTGCTCTCTCGTGCCCTAGCTACGCGTGTGCAATGGAAAGCCTCTTCGCCAAATGAAGTCACTATTCACTTTCATTTTAGAGTAAATTTCAGTTTTCAATATTTAGTTATCTGTTATCAAATACGAAGTATTATTCACGTGTATCATTTCACAAATAATTTTTTTAAGTGTAAATTCTATAATTGATCTTTTATAACAGAGAGTTTTCATATTTAGTCTTCTATTATCAAATACTCCGTATTTTATATGTCAAAATATTTTTTTTGATAATTTTATGCTCCTTATATAAAAAAAGGTTTTAATTATTTAAATAAAATAAAATTGTATGGTTGAATGTGATTCAAAAAAGAGAAAGAATATATACCACAAAAAATCTAAAAAAAAAAAAAAAAAAATTTAAAATTCATCTTAAAAAAGAAAATAAGGACTCATTTTAAGAGAGGGTTAAAAGTTTGTTCTCTTCCATTTATTCTCATTACTTATTTTATTAGAATCAGATAAAATTCAAACAAATTAGATACGACTTTAAATAAAACTACAAGGAGCAATTACCAATTAATGAAGATTTTTAATGTCAAATTCCTATCCATGTAATATGTGTTCAGCGAACACATATTAGTTCAATTATTAAGATCACTGAGAGTCTATCACTACTCACTTCATCCCATCCACTAGCCAACTTTTTCTAAATTAATAATATGTGTTCGTTGAACACACATTAGTTCAATTAACAAGTCAACTTCCGTTTCATACCCTCCACTAACCAATTTTTTAAATGATTCAATAAAAATGAATAATTATTTGATGGGTTAGTTATTTATTTATAATATCAGAAAAATTTTAAATTTAACATACACAGAATATTTAAAATAACTTGCACTAAATATTTCACAAAAATAACATATACTTTATATTTAAAAAAGATACACAGAATATTTAAAAACAACATACATTGAATACTAGTATCACACCCGTGCGTTGCACGGGTCATAGTTACGGTACTAACTTAAGATCATTTTTAGGAATATAAATTGGTATATAATGGAATATAGAGATTTCATTATTTTAAAGTACAAAAGTAAAATGATTTACAAATTTCGAAAGACTTCTTTATAAACTACATCACTCGTATGTATAATTTGTGTGAGCATTCACTTCGCTGTATATCAGAATCTTCAAGCCATTGCGATTTATTACTCTTTAAATTGCAACATACACTTTCTCATTACTACATACCAGTTTTCGTAACAATAATTCAATAATTTGACTTATCTAAGTAATAATTCAACATTTTAATGTATTTATTTTGGAATTTGTATTTTTAATTTTATTTTTGTATTTAAGTGGTACTATTAACTTACCCTATGACATTTATTTTCAATTTTATTTTAGATGACTTACCATTTTTACACGTATCCATGCTTGTAAATTATATTATTCATAGTATTTATTTTAGAATACTTATACCATTGTTACATGTTTCCATGCTTACAATATTAATAATATTAATTTATGATTTTTTAATTTTTGCATTTAAATGGTACCGTTTGCTTAATGTACCACATTTATTTTTTAATTTATTTTATAACACTTACCATTTTTATACGTTACCATGCTTGTAAATTGTAGTATTAATTGATTGTATTATTTTTTTAGTTTTCTATTTTATTTTTTATTTAAATGGTATCATTTACTTACTGTACCGTATTTATTTTCTAATATATTTTAGAATACTTATCGTTTTAATAATTATTTTATTTTCTAATTTATTTAGAACACTTACCATTTATTTTATTTTGTGTTTAAATGGTACTATTTGCTTATCGTGGTGACATACCATTTCGTATTTATTTTCTAATTTTCTAATTTGAACACTTACCTTTTTAAAAAAAATCATGTTTTTAAAGTATAGTATTAATATTAATTTTACAGTTTTTTTATTTCCGTATTTAAATCATACTAATTACTTACCAAACCACATTATTTTCTAATTAATTTTAGAACACTTATCATTTTTAAATGTACTCTCTGTCCCTAAATAGATTACAATTTTTTTCTCTCCTCTCGATAACTTTTGTTTGTTTACGCGATTTCATTAAGTATTTGATAAAATAAAATAATCTTATCACTTCTTGTTTTGTAGAACTTTTGACGTAGTTGTTTAATATGTAATTTTTATATCTTATTCATATATCAATTTGTAAATAAAATTATTTCAAAAAGTAAGAAATTTTACTCCGTAACCCGCAATTTGTAATCAAATTGGGGACGGATGGAGTATTTTATTTTCTCTTTTATTTTAGAACACTGACCTAATTTCTTTTAGAAAACTTACCATTTATTTTATTTTCGTTTTTAAATGGTGCTAATTGCTTACCATACCATATCTATTTATTTTCTAATTAGAATATTTGTCATTTTTAAAACGTTTCCATTCTTTTAAATTATAGTATTAATATTAATTTGTAGTTTTTTATTTTATTCTTTTATTTAAATGTTATCATCTACTTACCGTACCATATTTATTTTCTAATCTATTTTAGAAAACTTACCATTTTTACGCATTTGTGCTTGTAAATTATAATATTTTTTAATGATAAATAATTAATTTGTAGTTTGTTTGAAATAAATCATTTTAATCCTGCCCATACTTTATTAATTTGTAATTTTTAAATTTTATTTTAATATTTAAATGGCAGTGTATTTTATTTCCATACTTCAATTCCCTAATGGTTCACTACTATTTAATTTAATTGCTTAAATTGTGTAACATTTAAATAAAAATAAAAATGAAAACATACTTAAAATGAAAGGAAAACATTAAGATAAATAATTAAACTACCATTTATGTTATCAACACTTTTCATATATGAGTGTTATACATGAGCGAGAAAAAATTCATGTCTTTTTAAATAATGTATAGATTTAAAAACAATATACACTGAACATTTAAAAACAACATAAACTGAATATTTAAAAATGACATATACTAAATATTTGTAACGCCCCAAAACATACCCTAGAATTATTAATAAATAATTATTCAATTAAACAAATTTGTTTCGATTAAAATAGATTGTTGTTGGGCTTTGGGTCAAAATAAAATATGTATTGATTTCCAATATCACCATCTGGATAAATTTCATAGAGATAAATCTAATACGTTTACTTGTTCTATGACCTTGATTGGGAACCTTAGAACATGCCCAAATCCAGAATAAATGAAGAATTTGTTTGTGATGTGAACTTGAAATGATTTGTTGAAATAATTCATGAGAATAAATAATATGAATGGAATGTAAGAACCATTCTGAATAAAGGTCAATTAAATCAATTTTGACTCTGTCAAAGTCATACACCCAAAAAAATATGATGCTAAAAAAAGTATTACAAATAAAACATAAATTATATCGTTGAATCGAATTCGACTATCTAATCGCATAGGTGCAAACGGAATTAAATTCAGAGAAAGTTTGACCAAAAAGTGTACCTCGAGTAGGACCAAAATTAGTCCCAATCAGAGACTTGCATTTGGAATCATGAATATCGCAGCCCTTCCCACTAAGACGCCAAAATAAGAACTACGTACATCACCAACTGGCTTCTTCTCTATTTCTTCTCCTATATAAACCACCCTTACTCTCTTCATTCTTCACGAAAACTCAATAAGTTTAGAGAGAAGGACTAAAGTCGACTAAAACATTGAAAATATACTAAAATAGGAGTTCCATGTTTTTATTCCCGAAATAGGACTTAAATTACCTAACATGGTCCTGTACATTATCAAAAAAGTATAGTAATGTGAACATGTATAGTGCTACATTACCACAAAGCAAGATCTTATTTCGGGAAAAAAACATGAAAGTCCTATTTTGGTACTTTTCTCTATGTTTTAGTCATATTTAGGATGGTTTCTAATAAGTTTAATATCATTCTGTTCTAGAGAGTGTGGGGAGTGCAGTGGCATTGTCACTTTGGTGTGAAGTCGCCGAAGCTAAGAGTAATCCTTACCATAAGTTTCACCATAAAATTCTCAAAACCTCTCGATGGATACCCTGGACATGCGGTATCCGGTTCTCCGCTGTCTATCATTTGCCGTATGACTCCCTTAATACTCTTGCACTCGGAAGTGTTATGGGAATCTGACCTATGGAACGAACAATACGTGCCCGACCATTGTCGTCCCGGTTGACCGGTAGGATTTTCCGGAGGATTGACCGGTGTTTTCCTTATCTCCTGGCACTCCTCTGTGCTGACCACGCGAACGACCAGGTCATAGTGGTGCCTTGGGCGGCTAGTTCCCGGTGCTTCTTCCTTCTTGGTCTGCACCGGCTTGGGCTTGAATCCATGTTCAGCCTCTTTCTTTGCCTGGAGTTGGGTTTCAACCTCCGCGAATTCCCATGCCATGTGGTAAGCTTCTTGATATGTGGCCGGGGGCTTCCGGCAAAACTCCTTGTATAGTTCCCCGGCATGCAAGCCATTCAAGAAGAGAGACAAAACCGTCTTGTCATCCATCTCTTCAACCTCATCCACCTCTTCTTTCCACTGGGTAAGGAATTGAGTGAGATTCTCCGATTCTCTCTGCCCGGCTGTACTAAGATATGTGAACTTCTTCCTCTTAGTACAATTCTCCTGGAACTTAGCCTTGAACTTTGAGGCCAAATCGCTGAATGAATCACTTCTACCTGTGCGAAGCTTGTTGAACCATTCAGTAGCTCGGTTCCGTAAGGTTTGGAAGAAAAGGAGGCATCTTTCTTCGTCTGTGCAACCGTTCATGGTTGCACTCTGATTGAGGGAATCTTAATGGATTTCTGGATCTTCCTTCGCAGTGAACCCTGGGGCGTCTATCTTGACCTTTCGCGGGAAAGGTGTCAGATGGACTCTTGTGGTGAACGGGGACCCAGGGAGGGGTTTGTCCCGGACATTCTTTCCCCGACTTTCTTCTCTAGCCTATCCAATTTCGCCTCCATCTGCTGGATGCGATCATTCGGGATGGTTAACCGGTTAGCCATCGGACTCCTGGGCTGGCTCTTTGCTTCCTCTTCTTGATGAGAGGCCCTCGTCTTTGCTGGCTCTTGCCAGTTAGACCGGGAGCGCTAGTAACGGGCAGGCTCAGCCTCCCTCCCTTTTCCTAGCCGGGCAAAAGCGCTGACATGGGCAACGCTCTGCCCCAATCTCAGCTTGGCTAACTTCCTCTGGCCTTCTTCCCTAGATACATTTTTTCAACACCATATTTTTGAAATACTTTTTTGACATTATTTGTAATATTTTTTCCGAAATCATATTTTTGGATGTTTGATTTTGATAGAGTCAAAATTGATTTAGTTGACCTTTATTAAATAGGTTCTCTCATTTAATTCATATTACTTATTCTCATGATTTATTTTAATAAATCATTTCAAAGTTCTTATCATAAACAAATTTTTCATTTATTCTTAATTTGGGTCTGTACTCGGTTTCCTAATCAAGATCACACAATAAATCAACATATTGGATTTATCTCTCTGAGACTTATCCAGATTGTGATAACATATTTTATTTCGGTCCAAAGCCCAACAAAAATTTATTTTAATCAAACAATTTGTTTATTTGAATAATAATTCAATATAATTTTTAGGACATATTTTGGGGCGTTATACGTGTCGAACTCACACTTTATATTTAAAATATAAGCAAAACCGTGTTCGGCGAACCCATGTTTGACTTTGGCATATTTAAATCTACACGCAAATGCAAAGACCAAGATAGAGACAACAACTTCAGCTTTTCCTTTTCGCAGAGTTGCAGACATATTGAGTTCAGCGAACACACTTTAATTTAATGAGCAATGCTAGGGGTACACCATTTGGTGTACCCCATTTGTCCCCCACCCCCTTCTCCACCACCCATTTTTATCATCTTTTTATTTATTTAATTTTTTTTAAAATAATTGCCCATTTATGTGGTGGAGGAGGGGGTGGGGGACAAATGGGGTACACCTTTGGTGTACCCCTAGCATTTTTCTAATTTAATATTTTAAATGTGTGTTTAGCAAACCCATTTTACATCAACCAAGAATAGTTTGAAAAAATAGGAATTGCCAAACTACTTTATACACTGAACGAGAAAGCACTCAAACTACAAACAGATCAAATCAAAACCAATCAAATCAGGTATATAAAACAAGCTCTAAATTTTTGTGACATTCACTAAGGGCACTGGTAATGGGCATCACGCCCGGGGCGTTATTGCTCCTTTTAACGCCAAAGGAGCAGCAAACACCGCCCCCTTGGGGCTTCATAAGGGCTTCATCCCTTGTGCTTCAAATATTTAACGGGCTTCAAACCTTACATTCTCTCTTTTTCAAAAAAACATATACAAACATAATTTTTTTACTCTATATTTTTTTGTTTAATGTAATACTCCCTCCGTTCTCAAAAACACTTCCTCTTTCATTTTTTTCGCTTCCAACAAAACACTTCTACTTTCTATTAAAAAACCACTTTTACCTTTACTTTTTCATACCCTACCTATCACATCATACTTTTTCTCTAATAATCTATATATCACATCTTACTTTTACCATCACATCAAGGACAAAATTGGAAGTCAACTACAATTTAACACTTCCTTATTTTTCCACTTTTTCAAAGTAAGAACTCTTTTTGAGAACGGAGGGAGTATTTTTTTGTTTAAATTTTTTTTAGTAATGTAATTTTTTTGTTTTTTTAAATTTAACATACTATTTTTATTGACTGTATTTTTTATTTTATGAGTTATGTCAGTTTGCAATATGTTACTACAACTCGGATTTGAATGAAGATATTTTTAGTCGCTCGAATAATTAGTAATTTCTTTGTAGTGTTGTTTTTTTATGGATGTAATATTTTTTTAATGAATGTAATTTTTTTATGAATGTATTTTTTTATGAATGTAATATTTTTTTAATGAATGTAATTTTTTTAACGCACTAGTCTACTTTTGATTAATTTAAATAATAAATTTATTAAAATTTACTTATTAATTTAAAATTAAGAAGATGTATATTTAAAAATGTAAAAAATGAAGATTTAAAGCCCCAATTTGAAGCCCCAAGGCTTTTAACCCATTTCCAGTGAATTTTTGGTGTAAGTTAAAACTGATGTGGCAGAGAGAAAGTTTGAAGCCACAGGACTTCATACATATTTCTATGCTCTAATGTGCCCGGTGTCCCCATTGGATCTTTCTTGTTGTCGACCTCTCCATTACTGTCATTAATATCCTTTTTCAATTTGTCACCATTAAGGTCCATAATTAATCATCAATCATGTTGGGGTGGCTTCATTAATCATTCTAAAAACCTTGAATGCATCCATAATCAGATCCATAAACCAAACATAAAATCAAAAGATGTAATTATAGTTACACTAATTTTCCTCTAAACATTAACTCTTCAATAAGAGTTTTACAACCAAGTAGATTAAATCACACAAACTAGCTCCCAGACTGCTAGAAAACAAAACCTTAGTCATTGGTAAACAGTCCCACACAAAGCAGAAAACCCTCCAACAGCTCTTAATAACCATTGGATCCAAACAAGGAGTTAAAAACATGGCATTTTTTTGGTCACATATAAAAATGAAGTACTTACATTGTAATGGTTGGCTCCAAATTGAAGGTTCAAACAATAAAAATATTAAAAAAATAATTGCAGAAGAACAATAATAATGCCTGCAATGCAACCAGAACAAAACTATGAACAGAACTGGCGGCATCAAGATCGATATTCTACCCAACAGAATTGGAAGGTTAGTCGTCGTTTTGATCATGAGGGAGAGTTTGAGGCCGAGAGTCTATTGAATTTCTATTGTTACGGTGGTTTCCGGACGCCCCTGTCGGTTTCCAGTTTCACTACTCGAACCAGAAGGCAGAGGGCCGAACTCGCTGGTGGGCCCACTGCATTCGCTGGAATCGTGCTGTTGCAATGCCATCTTCCTGAATTTCACCAAGTCCTCTTTGTATTGTGCCGTGTCATAATCCGAGCTTCCAAACGGTTCTTGAATCGAGCTGTGTCCCGGTCTTACTCCCCCGTTTAACTCGGCCAATTCTACCTTCCCTTCCAACGCCTCAACTATCTGCATCGCCATCATCATCAAACAAAGAAATGGTCGCCATATGCAAATTTTGACAGACAAAATGAGATAATGGAAGGATATTTGAAAGGTACCTGACCCATGCGCGGCCGTCTTCGTGACAAATGGCGCACGCAAACAGCAGCACAAGTGATCATTCGGTTCATCTCAGAGGAATCATAATTGTTCATTAACTTTGGATCGGCTAGAGCATCGAAGTTTCCATCATCAAGTGCTTGTGAGAGTAAGGGCCTTGCCTGCACTCATGACAATGTGTTACCTTTCCATACATATTCCCAGGGTTTGCTGTAAATTAAGCATTAGAAAAAAGAGAAATACAAATTGCAGTAGTAGAGCTTGAGATTCCAACAAGTTAGAAGTTTCAAACATGAAGAAAATACAGACTAGAACTTTTCAAAAGCACTTCTGTAAAAAAATTTATGAAAACTGTCTTTTTGTTTACTAATTTGACAAAAGCAGTTGAGACTCAAGAGTTAGAATTAGATGATTAAAAAAATTTACAAAAAAATTAAATAAATAAAACTCCATGAATATTTGTAGTAACAGTGCATCACACTACAATATGTTTATTTTACTTGCTCAGATTCAGCGCAACATGCAAATAGTATCAAGTATCAACTACTAGAACTTACTACTATCACATAGAGAAAGGACTCTAAACTGTGCACACCCTAGATATGATTTGAAGATATTTTAGATTTAAGAATTTGGCAAGGTTCCCTTGACACTAGAGTGTCAACGGATGACACTCGCTCATTTGAAGGTCCTCTAGTGTTTCGTTCGCAAAAATGATGGTTTCTACCCCCCTAAACCCACACTCGATCCCACCCCAGCCCAACTTATGCACCCCCACCCTAAACCCACATTTTACCCCCTCCAAATGTGTGGCTATTATGCAATGCATAATAGCCACACATTTTAAGCGGGGTAAAATGGGGGTCTAGGGTGGGGGTGCACTAGTCGGGCTGGGGTATGGATGCATTGGGGGGTTTAGAGAGGGGATTAGGGGGTAGGAACCATCAATTTTTCATTTGGAGCACCGGAGGAGCTCCAAATGAGCGAGTGTCATCCGTTGACACTGGATGTGTCAACAGAACCTAGCCGTTTAAAATTTTAACTTTAGAATAACGGAGTATTTTTTTATCTTTACCTGCTGCACTTTAGTGACTCTACTAACATTTTCCTTTTGTGTTTGAGTTGGAGGTCTTTTGAAAAAAAAATCTCTACCTTTTCTGGGTAAGGGTAAGATGTACATGGTACACCTACTCCCATCCCATACTAGTAGATAGGTTATTGTTTTGGAGATGAAGGAAAATGGAGAAGACAATGTTGGCACAAGACATATAATAAACAAGTCTACCTTATACGAAGGGTAATCTCCATTCCATACGTTTTTGGGTAAAGTTGATTGTGGTTATGTTTGGTTGAAGGGGAAGGGAGGGAAGGAAAGAGGTAATATTTACTTTCCCACTCCTTCCCCTACAACTTTTTCCAACCTAACAAGCTCAACTTAACAAACCAAAAAAAGGTTACGTTCTCCTTCATCAACCCTCCCGTCTAACCAAACACGCCCTTTGTAATACCGATTCAATTGCGGGTCTAGTAGAATGTCGAACCCAATACATAATGATCATTACATTTCATGGTTGATTACATCACACCAAACATAGCTTTAGCACAAACACTATTAACAATTCAAAAGTTTTAGTTTTGGAAAAAAAAATATGGTACT